AAACATATTTTTTTCTATAACATATATAACAAGCTAAGTTTTATCACTTTGTTCCGTTCTCTATGAGAGTCTTCACTGAACTAGAAGCCATCTTGGTTTATACACTTGAATATAATATAGAAGGCTTTTCGTTGCGTGCTAAAATCATTAGCCTACGAGTTTTCAAACTTGGATATAGGTAATTACATCACACCATGACAACTGCGGTTCAGAAACAGTGTTTCTCTAAAACAGATAAAACTACACTACTACTGAAGTTATAAGACTCATATTGGCGTTAATTTGTTCAAACTATTTATACATTATTCCTAGGGTGATGTAGGTATCGTATTATGCGCTTGGAACATCGCAGACTTTTCCGTCTTACCTAGTAAAAACACTCTTAATAATTTGATATAAGTAAAAGTTTTTATTCCCGATTTTTAAAAAAAATCCTTACATGATAGTGTTAATTTTGAGTTTGACATTTGATTATGTGATCAAAAGTAGTACAAACATAGTTACTAATTGCACCCATTTCGTTTACCACATTTTTTTATGGTTATGTTTGTTAACAAAAATACAAACAAGCTGTGGAAAAGGGAAGAACACTGATGTCAAACTAATATGCATCCTCGTTCATTCTGATTTTTTTTGTGAAATCTACGTCTTTTATCCTCAAAATTACGTGTTGTGGTCAATTTTTTTGTATGTATTGCATTGTGACGTTTTATGAAAAATCTGTACGCGATGGAGAAAAACGGATATTATTTTCGGATTCAGCGTAAAGGAATTACTGTAAAATATGTAAAAATTTCAAGACAATAAAACCATCGCAGACCTGTTTTATTATATTTCATATAAATCACAGACTATATTGAAACGATTGGGCGTGAACAGTTATACAGCCGCTGTTATTTGCTGAGTTGTAAAATATACTCAAAAACTTCCTTACACAATGCGTAATGAGACGTTTAGTAATACTGCCAATGTTTTATTACAATACTCGTAGGCTGGCGAAAAAATATTCATTAATAATAAAGAAGAACAAATGGGTGATCCCTATTATGGACCATTACCGTGGTTCATGATAAATCAGTTTTTTATATTATATAGGACTTAATGTCTTCATTGGCTAAGAAAATGTTTAAATAAAATCTTAAATTCACCGTATTTGACAATCGTGACGTAAGTTCTCTAAATCTTCTGTCATTAATAATTTACCTACCACCTCTTTTTGAAGTATAAAGTCTAATGTAAATTGATAATCCTATTAGGTAATCAAATTTACTTAAAAACTGCCCTACAAAATGCGCAATGATGTGTTTATTAGTATTGCCCAGGTTTCAGTATAATACTCAAAGACATTTTTTCCGTAGGCTAGCGGAACAATATTAAACAATGAAGAAAAACCAATGAGCGATCCCTATTATGAAACACTACCGTGGTTTATGATAGCGCCAGTGTAGTAAGTGAATCTGAAAGACCGAAGTCAAAGCTACTATAATCACTAGTGTTTTTCAATTAACACAAGTATATACACAAATTCACCTTCACTAAATGAAATAAACAATACCAAATTACTATAGTAACGAAAATAGCAGTATTATTCATTTAAATACCTTGCTTAATAAGATAATACGCGTAATTTACAAGAACGAAAGGTATGACAAGGACGGAATTTGGACAGTGTCTCACGTCATACGCATGTGCATTACTACCAAAGAACTGTTCTAGTTAGAAATGGTGAGTACTTTCGTAAAGATATTGATACCGTTGGATATTTCCAGTTTTCATGACAAAAAACAACATATCAGTCAGTGGGTGAAACATAATAACTGCACAATAGTGTTATTAAAAAAGTGAAAAAACATACCATTTACATAGTTTACTGACTTTATTTTCTGCATGATAATACGTGTTTTCGCCACAGGCGAATTATAAAAACTTATCGAATTAATGTGTGTTCCTATTATTACATCCGAAAGTGTTTTCACTAAGTAAGACTGGAAACCTCGAGCGGTGTTCTTCCGATTGCTGTATTATGGCTAAAAAAAAGTGGACAAAAGTTACAAACAATAATGTTTTCGTTTGAAACACTGAAATCAACCTAAAATAATTATTTTTATGTACAAAATTAAGTAAATAAAACTTTTTATTGAATAAATTGTAACCTTGCATTATTTTTAAATGACGAAATCATAGAACGAAAGTATAAAAAGTCTATACCTTTAATTTTATACTTTCAGTACACAGACTAACGCCCCCCAGTGGTACAGCGGTATGTCTGCGACTTACAATGCTAGAAATCGGGTTTCGATACCCGTGATGGGCAGAGCACAGATAGCCCATTGTGTAGCTTTGTGCTTGACTACAAACAAACAAAGATTAACAACAATATTAGGCTATACTTTTGTTGCTATACAACATGACATAAAAGCCATTGTTGGAACGTGGTGTTAGCAAAACGCACGGGCTTTTCTAAATATTAGAAGCTGTTAATCTAACTGATTTTTACCAATAATTACTCTATGAATACGTCACGAATTCACTTCTTGAATGATTTTAATTTTCATTACCTCACAAAGGAATTTACAGACGTTCAACTGCTTCGACTGCACTTTTCTGCCTCTTTATTGTTCCAGCTTGATTTCGCAAAATATATATATTTCAGTTAGCTATGGAATGTGATGTTAGGGTATACTATGCAGTGGGGGTGGTCAGGGTCGGTCTTAGTCATTCTGAAGTCCCGGGCAGAATTCAGTAAATGGAGCCCTATAATGATAAGAAAATTTAGAAGTAGATTAAAAGGCATAGCTTGTTTGTTTGTACTTAAGCACAAAGCTACACAATGGGCTATCTGTGCTCTGTCCACCACGGGTATCGAAACCCGGATTCTAGCGTTGTAAGTCCGCAGACATACCACTGTGCCACTGGGGGGGGGGGCAAAAGGCATAGCATCGGGGATCCTTCCATGTGTGAAACCCCGGGCAATTGCCCAGTTTACCCAATAGGTAAGACCGCCTATGGGGGTGGTAGTACTTGTCCAGTCATTTTTGACGGGCGGTACGCTATTGACCTTGTAAAGTACTGTTCTTGGGTTGCCTTCTACTCGTATATTCACTAACTTTTGACGCACTTTTTTATATTGTATAGTGAAAGCATTAGATGAACCGATATGAATACGTTTAAAGATGTAATATGTTTTTTTTTATTAATTCTTATTAACAGCTACTTGCAACAATTTTTTTTATCAACCATAATACTTAGATAAGTAGTTAGGACGGGCTATACGCTAGTTTTTAATAAAAACGAAAGTGTTAATATTTTCGAAAAAATGTTTTGTTATCTATTGAAAATTAGCTCATGCAGACGTAACTGAAATTTCTAAAACTTCAAAAGAACGAGTAAACCAAGAATGTTAACTACAAACGGGTGGTGCAATGGCTTGAGGTTCCACATTATTAACTGATAAAAATCATAACCAGAGGCCATACCAAAAACGTTCATGCTCATGTTATGTGGCTTATTGGTAGGTCAAAACATGATAATTTGTTACGTAAAATGTAAGTCAGTAACTTTACACTGAAAATGTTGCTATCGTACGTTATATTCGCAGTTAATTCAAAATAACGCATGAACTTTTGTCATGAAACATTTTAAAGGTTGAATAAATGAATCAAAACACTTGTTATTACATTGAACTAATAACATCAACTTAATAATAACTCGTACGTTTCAAGGTTTGTATGTGCGCTTTCCTATTCTCTTTAGTTTTACTTTTGTTTTTAATTATTGAATAAAACTTTCACTTTTTCATTTGCAGCGTTTTTGTGAGAGTTAGGTTGTCATATAACAGTTTTTTAGAAGTAAGATTTTTGTATATTTTACTAGTTTTAGGTTTTAGTAAGAACAAAACTTTTGTATGATTTATAAGTAGCCATGTTTTCATGGAAATTAGGTTTTCGTACAACGTTTAAGAATCATGTTTTTGTGACAGTTAGATCTTTGTATGTAAAATTTTTATGTCTCAAATTTTATTGGAGATTTCTATCATTACATTATGGAATTTAAATTATCATCATTTGTAAAGTTTCATGATTTTGTGAAAATTACGTTTTTTATTTATGTTTTTTTTTCAGAGAATTTGAATTTTATTTTTTTCTAGGATTCATAAATTCATAAAAATATCATTGCATTGTTTATTTCGAAAGGCTAACGTCGTGGACAGTGAGGTTCTCTCATACTTATGTTTCACGTTCTCATGTCTCTTTTAGCGAAGTAAAAACATTCTTTTGTATAACACGCAGTTGAGCTAACCAGTTTTGAGATGTTACCTTTTCCTGTACGACTGGTAACTCCTTGAAAAGTGTGATATTGTGTTCACGAGTCCAAAGAAAATACTTCGTGAACACGAGTTTAATGGCTTTCGTGGTTTTTTTTTAAACAATGTTGTCATTATATGCTGTAACAATTGTGACCTTCAAAATAAAATAGTTTAATCACATATAAACATTTTTATACAAGAAACTGGCGTGACGTTATTATACAAAGTTGTGGTGCTTGGATGTATCCGAACTTCTGGAACAATTATTTTACTTTTTTTTTTTGCCCAAGACATTCCGAGAATATCCGTTAGCGCTCTCTCCCTCGGTAGGCAGAGCGAAGATAGTCCATTGTGAAGTTTGTGCTTAAGAACAAACAAACAAAGAACTTCCGTTAAGCACGTTCATGGATTAAAATTTTAAATATTGCGGTTGCTATAAAGTATAACAAGATTTATTATAAACAAGCTTATACCACGCGTTTGTACTGTCGCATACATTTTTTCGCAATGAAATGTGTTTATTATTTTTTAAGTGTCTCCTAATTCACTATTTATTTTCTAGACTCATAAATCTTCGCCATCATACGTTTTTTGTAGTTTATAAAATAAATTTTATTTCGCTAATACGCAAATAGTTGTTTAAAAAATATGAGGGTTTTTATTTAAAGCTACAATTTATTCACTACCCTTGCAGTGGGCGCAGGATCAGCAGGGGCTGTGGTGGCTAGTCGACTCTCCGAAGATCCTAGAGTCACGGTACTTCTTCTTGAAGCAGGAGGGAAAGAGAACATTGTAACGGACATCCCTGTTGCGGCAGCAATGATTCAGAAGACTCCACTAGACTGGGCCTACCAGACGGAGCCGCAAGATGCTGCTTGTTTTGGACACATCAACAGGGTAAGGTATAGACGTCCCATCTAACCAGTGGGACGTCTATAAAAACAACTCTCACTTTATAAAGTATACCACATTGATAACAAACAATAATGATATAAACATTTCATAAAGAAAAAGGCAGATTTAGACTCCTTCAGAATGAGGGCCCGGCATGGCCAGGTGGGTAAGACGCTCGACTCGCAATCTGCGGGTCGCGGGTTTGCGCCCCCATCCCACCAAATATGCTCGCCCTTTTAGCCGTAGGGGCGTTATAATGTGACGGTCAATCCCACTATTCGTTGGT